AGCACCCCCCGCCCCCATCTGAATGTTGTATTGTTAAAGCCTGACCTCTTCCCCTCTTCCACAGAGGTTTCCCCGCTCCCTCGGCCCCAGGGTCCGTCCTGTAAATTGCTCGAGGCACTAGTTTTTAAAACAATGACACTAAGGGAAGCTCCCTAAGGAGCCACTAGGGGGTGAGGAAGCCTGTCAGACTCCCTCATGTTTTCAGCCAGAATAGTTCCACTTTTATTTGCTTTATAATCTCTAGAAAATTGCCCTTGAGATGTTAACTTATTAAAAATGAGCGAATGACTACATAAACAAACAAGCCAATTAAGAAAAGTCAAAAACGACTACTCGAGGCTTTCTCAAACATCATGTCCTGGTTCAGGGCCTTCCCCACTAGTCCCATGCCACGAAGAGGACTCCTTCACGATCTTCCCACCCTCCCCAGCTTCCCACGGCTGCCCACCTGCAATGTCACACATTTCAGCATCTGTGGCATGGGCCAGGGCCTCCTCCAGCTCGGGCTCCAGAGTGATCTGCTCCTCTGCTGGAATTTCCCTCTTGGGCTGAATGTAGGGTTTGCCTGATGGAGAGGAAGGTAGAGGTCTTTTCTCCCAAGATTCAGGTAGAGGTCTTTTCTCCCAAGATCCCGGCCTCCAGTTTCCTGTCCTTCTCCAGGGGGTGGGATGCTGGTCACTAGGCGCCACTGGACAGCCTGAGTCCTCTACCAGCTCAGAACTCCTGGGTCCCCCGACCTCGTGAGGGCTGGAGAGTGCAGGCTGGCATGCAGGAATCAGGGCAGCCGAGTTTGCGGGCAGCTAGGAGCCGGCAGGTGAGAGGGAAGCGGGAGGGGGCACGTGGGAGAGACAGCCATTTGGGTTCCGGGAGGCATGGATGTCAGGGGCTCCGTACCCTTCTTCTCGCCTGTGAAGGGCACCAAGTCATCGCGCTCTTTGACCTCTAGTGCCTGCTGCTCCAGGTACTGCAGAAGGGCGTCTCGGTCCAGGGGCCCCGTCGGGCTCTTCTTCGTCTGGTCGCGTTGTCTTAGTCCAGCTGGCAGGAGCATGTTCTTAGGGATGAGTTTTGGGGAGCATGTCAGACCTCCCCTCCAGGGCTCCCTAAAACATCTCCAGATACCTTTTCCCTGGCCCTCCTGGGACTCCAGGACCTGTAGGCAGCCCTGGGCCCCGCACCCTTCCCCAAATGCCTAGGGGGCCGCCCCTGGTCCCTGTGCTGGAGCCCCTACCTCGGGGTCCATCTCCTGCAGCTCGCAGTCCAGCTGCTCTAGCTCCTCGGGGCTCAAGGTCCTCAGGATCTCATCTTCATCTATGTCTCTGTATTTCTCCAGTTCCTTCTGATATGATGACATGACGGCCCCCACCCCCTGCCCACTGTGTGGCACTCACGGAGCCTGGGGGACATGGGGAAAGTGGTCAGATGATGGAAAGACGGAGGTAGACACAGCAGGGACACAAGGGCCCAGCCAGGAGGCAGAACAATGAACTGGGTGCCTTGGTTAGAAATCTAGTTGGGCGATGACAGGCGGGGTTAGACGAGGTTGCTTAGTTAGAACCAGAGCCTCCTTCTTCATGCTTCCCCAGCTTCCAGCCACTCTGGATGGGGATCCCGGGCATCCAGGCTGGGTTTGTCCTCCCACTGTATGTGGAGAGGGCCCGGCAGCACCCTTCCCATAACCTCGCCCGTCGGTGCCTCTTGACCTAGCACGGCTGCCGGGAGCCCTGCCAGCCCGCCTGGCCCCATGCCCAGTTCCTATTGAAAAGAAGGGGGGCAGGCAGAGAGCTTCAGGGGTATTCTTCTCTCTTCCTCATAATCCGGTCTTTTTCCTAAACTGGTTTAAGAAAGCGAGGAGGATCGGGGAGAAGAGTTCTCTTACCCACCCTCACTCCTTTTATTGTGGGGATCGAGATTCCACTGTTTACTGAAATTCTAAATCCTAAGGAAAAGTAGGGGCTCACAGGAGGTGGGGGGCGGGTACTTCCAGGTTGGGGTCACGGTGGTACAGTCTCAGGAGGAGGGACTGCGTCCCCAAATTTGTCCCTGGCTTTGGACAGGAAGGTGACACCAGACCAATGGGTAGGATTCCTTCTCTTATTGTGGGGATCGAGATTCCACTGTTTACTGAAATTCTAAATCCTAAGGAAAAGTAGGGGCTCACAGGAGGTGGGGGGCGGGTACTTCCAGGTTGGGGTCACGGTGGTACAGTCTCAGGAGGAGGGACTGCGTCCCCAAATTTGTCCCTGGCTTTGGACAGGAAGGTGACACCAGACCAATGGGTAGGAAATGCCTTCTAAATAGAATAAAGTTTCTTTAAAAACAGTGGGAGGATTAAACTTGTACGATCTTTTACAATATGAAAAATACGCACAGGCTACACATACACACCATGCTGAATGTGAAAGATCCAGAACGTGTGTGATACGTGGACAATGTGAACTACAGCGTTAGGGGACATGACGGACAGCAGCAGAAACGTACACTGAATGACAGAGACAGGGACACACTTTGTATCGTTCCCATTAGGAGCCACCGCTGTCCTCCCACTTCCCACCACGAGCCCCCTGCCTTCCCCACCTACCAGTCCTGGCGGCCACCTCCTCACCTCCCCGTCCGTTGGTCAGTCTGTCTGCCCTACTGGAGCACTGTCTCAGCAGCAGGAGGAGCCCGGTGCCGGGGGAAAGGGTGGGGGAACAGTGAGCTCAGCATTTTATTATTTTAGCTCTGGCCAGGTGGGGGGTAGTGGGAGATCACATATACACAGCCCCCATACCCTGCCCAGCCCTGAGAGCCTCTAGTGGCCACTAACAGCCATGACACCTCCTGCCTTTCCCTTGGTGCAGGCTGCAGTCCTAGAAACCGGAGTTCCAGCAGAATCAGATAGTTGCTGCCTATTTGGTGCCTGCTATACTCAAAGCAGTGACTATAAGGTGATACAAAGGTGAATATAAGGGTTTTGTTTGGGTGTCTGATTTGGAGGTGTTTCTAATCTAGTTGGAAGAATGACGACTCATGATAGTAAACACTCAAGACGTTCACAAACACTTCGTGATGCCAATTGTAGATTAGACACCAGACAAAAGGGACCTTTCTATTTTATTAGATTGAAGAACAGAACACCAGGAGGAACTGGGGGAAAGATGGTGAAAGGGATACAGAAAAAGGCTGGGCAAAGGGTAGAGATGACAAAGGGAAGCAGGGAGAGAAAGGGGAACACAGAGCCCCACGTCAGGGCAGGAAACAGGTGTCTGAGGACGAGACACCTCATTTGATGACGATTTTCTGGCGCAAGGCTCGCGGCCCAGAGCCAGGCAGGGGCTCAGGGGGTGGCGGCCCCGGGCCCAGGGCCGAGGCGGCGGGCGGCAGCCCGTGGGCAGTGATGTACTTCTTGTAGGCCTCGCGGATGATCTTGAAGGCTCGAGCAGTGGCGTAGGGTATGTCTGTCACAGGGTCCCGGTACAGGGCGGGGCGATGGGTCACTGGGCACACCTCCCGAACAGGGACCTTTGGGGCCCGCCCTTGGGGAAACCATGCCTCAAATGTCGCATCGTCGCTAAAGGTGATGAAAGTACGTGAGCAGCGGGCAGGAGGGACGGCGGGCCCGGGCCCGGTGCTGGCAGTCAATGCGGAAGCCGTGGGGGCAGGCTCGAGTCTGAGGGGAAAGACCGAGAAAGACACGAAGCTGAGGCGAGAAGACAGCAGGTAAAGAAAGAGGCCAGCGGTGAGGCAAGGGGAGGAGGCGGGGTGATGGCCGCACTCGGAGGGACGCTATTCAGTGACAGACGGGACCAGAATAACGAATGACAGAGAAAACGGCAAAGACGGAGGAGAGAGAGGCTGAAAGAGAGAAACGGGAGCTGAGGGAGAGGGGCTGAGACCGCCCAGGGCCGGGGAGTCGTGGCAGGGGTGCAGGCGACATGGGCGCCCGCGCTCAGCTGGAGGAAGGAGCCCTGCCCCCTCTCCCCGGGCGTCACTCACCCTTCCACGTCCACGGTCTCTTCCCTGGGGCCTGGCTCCCCAACCAGCGGCACCGTCACTGAGTGGTAGGTGATGATGGGCCCCGGGCACTTCCGCTTCTTGTGAACCTGCTTCTTCTTGTCCGCCTCCAGCCGCTCGTACGTCTCTTGAGGGTCAAAGGAAAGAAGAAGAGGACGGTCGCCCCCTTCCCACAGCCCACTCCTGCCCCACGGCCTCTCGGTCACCTTCCTGGCTGCCGAGCCACCGCCTGCCCGCCCGTGAGGAAAGTCCGTCAGGCCCTCCAGCACCTTCCATTTCCTGAGGGTTCTGCTCACCTGTCTGCTCATCGTTTCCCAAGTCCCCTGGGGTCCTCCCTCACTCAGAACAGCGGGACTTCCGAGCCGGACGGGGCCCTGTGAGGAGGAGCTTGCCCATTGCCCGACACCCCTACAGCTGCCCTGTCAACCCGCTCTGTCCCCGGCAGGGCACTGCGTGTTTCGGCATCTCTAGTCATTAGAGTTCTTTCCTATATTGAGCTGAAATTCACTTCCTGATGACACTGTCATCAGGCCATAAAGGACACGAGTCTAATCTGTCTTCCACACGACAGTCCTCTAAGTAGCTGAAATTAGTGTCCACGTGTCTCCAGGCTGATCATGACACCCATTCCAGCGACCCATTCCTCATCCAACACGGTTTGGAGTCAACTCCCTCCTCCTGCCGCCCCTGAGCCTAGGACGCTCCTCTGTGACTGTACCCATCGCAGTCAGTGGCAGAGGTTGCAAGCTGGCAGCCCACTTAGGTGTTTTGTTTGGTCTGGATAGTGTTTTAAAGAAAAATTTGAATTAGTTGTTGACATTTAAAAATTAGACAATACATACAAATACAGAGATTCCTGGTCTCTCTTAAAGAAAAAAATAAACCCTGGCAACCCTGGGTCTGCATCTCCCATGGCAACAGTAACTGTCCCTGCTGCAGGCGTCCCTTCCAGTTCACCGCAGTCCCCCTGGCTGGACCTGTGACTCTGCTCCACGGCAGTTCGTTATTGGTACGCGCGTCTCCTTAAGGGCAGCGACTGTGGCTCGTATCACCTACATGTTTCCGGTTGTGCAGCATTTGGCAGAACAGGCACGTGACAAATATGTTATTGCGTAAATAGATTGATGAAAAGATTCTTGGTCCCTTTCCTCCAAATTAACTCCAAATGTCTGTGTCCTTAGACGTCGGCACCAGAAACGCCATCGTCTAGATGAAGTCTGACCAGAAGAGTCCCCAGGAACCCCTCAAGTGATTAACCTTAATGTTGTTTTCTTCCCTGAGCCAACCTTCCGACCCTTTCCTCTTGCAAACACGTCCCTGTCCTCTGCAACTTCTGCTCCATCATCAGCCAACTCATCTAGATCCTCGAGTCCCTCACTCAGCATTCCTTCCAGAACTTGCCTTACTGGAAGCCTGTCGCCCACTGTGGCCAGCACTCTGCAGCCCTTGGTGGAAGCTGCCCGTCCCCTCCCACCCCACGCAGGACGTGCCTGTGAGCTGAGCCCGCTGCAGCTTTTCCATCACGACTCTGCCACCTGCCGCGCCCTCGCTTCTCTTCTGAGACCCGTCTGACAACCGCGATCACTTTCTCTCCTTCCTGGTCGCGGTCGCTCCCTCACTCCAGGACTTCGGCAATGACTCTCGCTCTTCCTCTCCACCTCGATTCCTATCATCTGAGGTCACCTGGTGACTTCAAAGTGCACGCAGGTAGCCCCTTCCCACCACTTCCCCACCGTTTCTTCACCACGTCATCTCTCGACCACCTTCCTGTCCACGACAGGCTACTTACCCATCCAGTTACAGATACAGCTTAGGCGCTGTCACTGCCTGAAATGGCCCAGCTCTGAAATATTCAAAGTCAGACATCCAGGCTGTGACCCCAACACCCGATGCTTCCGGTCTGTCCATTCCACTGCTCTGGATACCTCTGTCTCCTGCCTCCTCGGCCCTTCTCATACATGGACATGTCCTCACTCCGTCAGGCCGTTCCAGCCTTCATTTCCCTTTTAAAACGAGCTCGGGTTCCTCAGTCTATGATATCATTCATTCTCTTGTCAATCTAAACTCCCTCGCCCAGACCTGGATGGCTGAGTGCTACTGTATGAAACTTATACAACAGGTATAATTGGACCAGAACACATTCATGGTGCCAAACTTCAACAGACGCCCAACGCCAGCAGATAATCCTGTCTCTACAACAACTCCCGACGCTCTGCGCTCTCCTCGGGCTTCCAAGTCTGTCCCCAACTCCTGACGGATGACAGTGCCCGAAAGACATCAGGCGAGGACCACTGCATGTCCTGCTCTGAATTTCCAAACCCGCAGGTCTGAGCCCCCCGCCCCTCCATCCTAACTTAGGCCCAGTCCTCCACCTGTGCGCCACGCCCGCCTCCCTCCTCCCACTTCTCCAGAAACCTACACTGCTAACTCCCCGTTCTTGCTTTATCATCAAACTCGTTCAGTTGCTTCTCACAAAAGATACAGTCCCTCCAAACCTCAAATAAAACAAGGAAAACTCTACCTTGACTCCAGACTCCCTTACAGCTTCTATCCCCTCTCCTACCCTTCATAGCCGACCTTTTTGTCTTTCCAACCAGCTTCAAAATGCTCTGGTCCCCAAAAAGTGCCCCCTAAGGTCATCTCTGACCTCCATGTCACCTAAACCAATGGGCACTACGCCGTGTCCTCTCTACCGGCATCTCGGCAGCCTTCAGCAGTGATTCTACCTTGAAACATTCTCTTTCTTTGGTGTTCTTAAGACAGACTCTCCTGCAGTGTCTGACTCTCTGGCCACACCTCAGGTTCTTCTCTATGCTCGTCTTGTACGAGACCATTTCATTTTAGTGTCTGCAGGACTCTCGTGAGCCTCTGTGTTCTCTCCTCACTCTACGCTTTCTCCTGGATTAATCGGATCCACTCCAGTGCCATCAATTACCGCCCATATTCTAAAGGCTTCCAAGTTTATGTTTCCAGCTCAGATCTCCCGTCTCAGCGCAATTTATATTTATATTTACATTTACATTTTTACATTTATATTTATATCTACATTTACATTTTTACATTTACATTTATATTTATATTTACATTTACATTTAACTGACCACTCAGCACTGCAAAAATTGCTCACAGATGCCTCAAATTCAACAGGTTCTAAGTGAACTTACTATTTTCCCCCTGCTGAAGCTGCCCCCCGGGAGTCCCCTGTCAGTTACTGATGGCAGAAGCCTGGGCGTCACTCTCCTTACAGTGGCCTGAACCAATCATTGTGGTCAAAGGATGCAGACTGTGATTACGGTGACATCAAGGTGACCTCGTTGTGATGGTTCTCAGTCATTTACGTGTTTCGAGGGATAGCTACTGTTTTAAAGTACCGAGTTGCTGTTTTACGGATAAAGATTATATTTCGCATTTTAAAGCCAATACAAATGTCCCAATTTAAAACCAATTAAAAAAAAAAGTCATGAGCATACACCCTGAAGATGTTGGAGAGGAACTAAATCTTCTCCCAATCATTATAGTCTTTAGAGTTAAGTTATCAAAAGTTCAAAACTATGATTAAACTGGAGTGGGTTGTATCCCATAATCTTCCATGCCACGGTAAAACTGCATTTTCGTTACGCGTGTTCCACTACATGTGCTTGCCAAAGAAAGAGAAAGGGATTCAGAGAGAGAGAGAAGAAATTCATACTGCAGGTGATTCTACCTGTCATTTCACTCAGCGGGAGTACATCCCAGAGGGAGCACACGATGGGAGGTGTGACAGCTGTGTTCCCTCAATTTCTCACATACCTCTCATGATTTGAGACTCTCACCGCCCTATAAAGAAATGTATGTTTTTCGTACAATACATTACTGTACACGATTGTGTACCCAAGGGCATATAAACTGAAGAGATGTGTTACAAATTTTACTCAAAAGCAATTTATCGCACGAACTGGCTGACCCTACTGAATTTCTAATTCTCCTGATAGTTAGAGGAGGCATTTTGTGAACAAGAAAGCAAGATGCGAGGCGGTTGCGTAGTTTGCTTGCAGCCTTACAGCAAGTGAACAACAGAACTAGGATTTGAACTCGGTTTTATACAACTCTTATTTCACACCAAAGTACTTCAATAAATCTTGCTCTTCAAAGCCTTCATAACTGCCTAGTTCCTCGCTCCTAATTACTTACTTGCCCCATTTTTTCCTTCCGAGTCCCTTGTGTCAAATCTCCACCTCTCCCATTCTCTGGGCCCTCCAGGTCTCAGTTTTTCTCTTGCTCCTCAGCCCCTACACCCACTGTTCCCCAAGTCGCAGACTGACCCAGTGAGCGTAAGTTGAGCTCCTCTGTGATCTTGGCCTCCCTGAGCAGCTCCTCCTGGGTCAGTGGCCGCTCGCAGTGGGGCCCCTTTCGCCGCCGTGACTGGCCCTGCCTCTCCTGTACCCGAAGGAAAGTCTGTCGTGTATGTTCGGCTGTAGACTGTCGCATGGACTTCCGACCTGGGAAGGAAGTCAGAGAGCAAGAAATCTTTGAATTCGTGTCCACCTCCTTTGTTTATTTTTTTAGTTTTAAAACTTTATTTGGAAATCATTTTTAACTTTAAAAAAAGTTGCAAGAATAGTACAAAGAACACCCACGTATCTTTTACCCAGATCACCTTCTATTAACGTTTCGCCCCATCTGCATTGTGTGTATATGTTTTTTTCTTAAAAATCTGAGAGTTCAGTTGCACACATCATGGCTCTCTACCCCTAAAGATTTCAGTGTGTCTTTCCTGAGAATAAGGATTTCCCTTACATAATCATAATATAGTTGTTAACTTCAGTAAATTTGACACTGACACAATAACTTTTCTCCTCATATTCCAGTTCTGCCAGGTGACCCAAACGCCCGCACTCACTGTCAGAGCCATCGTCCTGCAATTCCAGCGGTAGCAGCGCCTTCTCTTCTCGGGCCTTCTGAGAGCCACCAGCTGGGGTGCTGACCTTTCGAGGCCTCAAGCTCTTCAGAGGCTCCTGGGGACGGATTAGAAACAGACACCAGGGAATGGACAGATAAGGAGCAAGATGAGACTATTAACAGGAAACTAGCACTGTAGGAAATGGGACTGGTGTGGGGAGAACCTGCATCTGACGAAAGGGAGAACAGGAATGAAGAAAGTCCACGCGAGCCGGGACTTCCCCCGCACCTTATAGGCTGTGGTGACGACGCGGCGCTTCCTTCTCGGCTCTTCTGCTTCTCCATCACTGGATGGCTCATCCCCTTCGTCGATGTCAAAGTCAGAGTCCACCTCGTCCTCTGTGTCTGACTGGTCCCCTTGATACTCATCGTCTCCTGATTCCTGAGGATACAGGGAGGTGAGGCTCTCGCTGGCATCGGAGCCATTAAAGCCGCTCCCAGAGGAACAGAATCTCTTTGCTTTCTTCGTAAGGGCCGCCCCTCTCCTTCCCGGACCAGCTCTTCATTTTCCTTGGGCAAGAAACCCTCCTCGCTGATGGCGTCTGCCTCCAGCACCGCCCTTTCCAACACTGACTGACAGCCCGATTCCTGTAGCACGCCATGCTAAGTTCTAGGGTAAATAGGATATACTTTGGTCCCAGGGGCATTACAGTCTAGTAAGAGGGCAGGACATAATTATGAAAGGACGTTTTAACACAAGGCAACATATGAAGTACCAGATGGCAATTAAATGTTACAGGTGTTCAGAGGAAGGCACACTTGCTATGGGGCTGGTAGCCTGGGGAGGTTTAAATATCACACTTTATCCCTTTAGACCAAGGGCTGGCAACATTTTCTGTAAAGGGATAGATTAAAACAGGTAATGAGCCAGATTTTGCCAGTGGTCTGTAGTTTGCTAAACCCTGCTTTAGACTGTAAAGCATGAAGGGAACTTGAACCATGGTTAAAAATACTGGTAGTATTTGGACAGCCAAGAGGAAAGAGGGACTCGTGGGGAGAGGGAGTAGCAAGAACGAAGCAGCAGGGTGGTGTACAGCACGTTTATGGAATAAGGATTTAGACCTAAGTAGAGCAGGAGCTTTGCCTCTGGCGAGAAGTCTTCCTAGCTGACTGCCTGCGGCTCCAGCACAGCCTCCTTTCAACGTCAATCGATCGCCCTATAGGTCTATAAGAGTTGAAAAGAAGGTTGCACTCGAGCTATAGAGGAACTTAAATGTGGCTAATGAGCTTCTGACTTTAAGTTGGAGGCCGGTGGTTCTCGATCGTCTCCCTCTTCTTGTTTTTCCCAGCAACGATCATTGTCGAAGGAAACTAAAGTTACTGCGAGGTATGTCTCATTCCTCAAGTGTGTTGGGACAGGAAAATTGATACGACTACGTATAGTGGGGAGCCGCAGAATATTTGAGGGGAGAGGAAAAATGCACCTAAGGGGTGTTGTAGAAAGCTCTGGAAGCGATGAAATGGGCCGGAGTAGAGAACATGGAGTACAGCCTGGACCTGAGGTGATGCAAACTAGGGCCAGCATGGCGCCATACTGGAAAGGAAAGAGAAAAAACACGGGAGGCAGAGGATTTGACTGGGCGGGGTAGTGCCTCGCACATGTGGCTCTCTCTTCAATCATTGATGCAGGCTAATGGGCTAATCTTGGGGTACACGCTGCCAGAGTAAGCAAATAACAGAGACCGCTGACACTCCAAGCCAGTCAGAGTTCTATCTTGCACTGATGACCATCACTTCCTCTCAAACGATGTTTGTGAAAGACAGCCGGGGCACACGTTAATCCCCTCGGCTCTGACCTGGTATTAAGTCACATTGCCAGAGTGCAGTAGTACAACTACTCATTAGCTTAGAGCCCAATTGCAATGTTTTTGCTGAGTTACGGATTTAGTACCATTCCTGTGGCTTTTATCAAGGATCACTAATAGACATGACTAGATAAGAAAAGGTTTTTACATCATCTACTAAACCCGTTACTTTATAGATCTTATATAAGGATGCGATTCTCCCTAGGACTAATACTGAGTAAGTTTGTCTCTCTTAAAGAACTTATATGCTTCTTTCTTACTAAAAAAAGAAATTCAGGGTTTGATTGCCAGGAAACTCACAGCTAAATTTAATATCAATTGGTATTATCATTTCAGCAGAGGCTCTGGTATAATTACTTTTGATCTGTCTCTATTTTTACTGTTCCTACTTTTTGTTTATATCGTAAGCCTCCTTAAATCCTTTTTGGAAGCATGACGGGTACATATTAAATAACGACTCGTAAAATGACAGGAATAGGAAAACAGCCTTTAGAAGAGGGATGAGAAAGTTCTATTTTAAACGAGCTGGTTAGGGCTGTGTAACTAATGACTCCCAACCAGCCACCTGGTTGGGAGTCCTGGGGACTCTATTGCCTTAATTCCTCTTGAACTCTCCTGTCTACGTTTCTCTACTCCCAACGCCTCCTTCAAACCATTCTCATGACAGAATGATCTTTCTAAAGTACAAATCTGATCATCTTCTCAATCCTCTGGATGAACAGGAAAATTCCTTAACATGGCTCACAAGGCCCTACATCATCTGGCCTGTGTCTACTTCCTCCATTCTTGCCAACCTTTATTCTCCTTCATGGAGAATGAGAGTAGATGTGCAGGTCCCACGCCAGGACTTCAGTGCCTTTACATGCTCTGCCCCATGCCCTCCGAGGACTAACCTTTCTCCTCCCCGTGCTCCCAGTCCTACTGCTCTTCATCCAGCCAAGACCTACTTTTCATATTGTCCTCAGCTTAACCATCATGTCCTCCAGGGAAAACCATCGCGATCAACAACTCTGGCTTCCACGCCTTACCACAAGACCCTACTTATTCTACCCCTTGTTCTACTCCTTATCACTCAGGATTTTAACTGACTGTTAACCTAGCTAGTTGCCCCATTTAAGGTCAAATGGGTGTTTTGAACAATGTATCCCTAGAGCCTATCACAGGGCTTTGATTGCTCTAGGTGCTCAACACATGCTTAAAGAATGGAAAGAGTCAACGGATACAAATTTAACAAATGCCAAGCCAATCCAGACACTGGACTGGGCGCTGGATGTACACTGTTGAACAAAACAGACCATCTCTAATCTTACAGAGCTCACGAACGAATAGGAAAGGATAAACAAGTAAGCAAACCAAATCTAATGACAAAGTGAAGTATGTTCTATGAAGGAAATATACGAGGACACTTTTTAGTACAAAGAAAGGTTATCTAGGGAGATAACCACTGAGATTTGAAAGCTGAAAAAGGAGTAGGCTAAGCCCCTCTATTTCTGGGAGGCTTCTTTCTATTCTTCAGGTGCATAACCAGCAGTGGGCCAACGGGTATAAACCGCGTGACTACGATGTGCCTTGCGCGCGCTAGACGTCAGAAGTGCGGTGACAGATGCAACTAGAGAAGTGCACGGTAGGTTCCTGCCACGTTCTGGGGTGTCTCCAGGCGGCTTCTCTATCCCCGCCCCGTCCGGGCTCTCGCTCCAGGTCTCCACCGCATCCCCCTGACTCGCCCACCCCGTGCGGGTATCACCCGCCAAGGCTCCGGCCTATTCCCCGCCCCGTTCTTTGTCCGAGGTTTCTCCCTTCGGGACTCCTCTTGGCTTCCTCCCCTCCCTCTGCCGGGGCCCGGCTCTTGCCTCCGTGAAACCCCCATAAGTCGTCTGGTAGAACTCATCTTCCTCCTCTGCCTCCAGGAGCCCAGAAAGCCGGTTCCCCGCGGTCTTCCGCGGGGCCCGGCCCCCAGCCAAACTCATTCCGCCTCCCGAGACTGCGCCGCCAACCTCGGCCTCCCTCCCAGCGCGGATCCCGGAGCTCGGCGCTCGACACCACTGCCTGCAGGTGGCCGGCGGCGGCGGAAGCCGGCCGTTCCAGGCAGAAGCAGCGGAGCGTCGAGGGGCGCCTAGTCCCGCCCCCTGGGCGGGCTTTACTCTTCAGCCCCGCCCACTCCCGCGCAGACACCACCCCCAAGCTCCTGCCGAAGCTCGCGCGGACCTGATCTGCAAGGATTCCTTTTGGTGACTCCAGGAGCCCCCACTCTAAGTCCAGAATTTGGGAGTCAACACGTTTTCATTTAGAAGAGGTCAGTCTCCCTCTGCTCTATTCCGTTTTCCATTCTGCTGCCCGTAGAAACCTTACTAAAAACCCAGACTTTTTCACTCTTCTACTCAAAAATCTTTAATGGCTCCCTGTATCTGCAGGATAAAGTCCAAAATCCTAGAGGCGGAATAGTAATGTGGTTAAGGGCAGAGCCTTGGAAAGCCAGATAGACCGGAGTTTGAGTTTGAACTTAGATCTTCTAGATGTGTGACTTTGGACGAGTTGCTTTGCCTCTCTGAATCTCAAGTTTGCTCATCTATAAAGTGGGACTGATAATAACTACTTTTGAAGGTTGTTGAGAAGAATAAGATGTAATCCTTGTAAATTACTTAGCACTGTATTAATAAGCACATAGATGTTTAGTAGGTGATAACTATTATTAACGTGGCATTCAAGAGCCTTCATAATTTAGCCTCTCCTTGTCTTTCTAACTTCACCTCCTGCCACATTATCTTATTATAGCATCACTTTCCTAACACCCAATTCTGTCGTGCCTCCATGCTTTTCCTTCTCATTAGACTCCCTGTCCTTTTTGTCTACCTGGCAAAATTCTAATTCTAAAACACAGTGAAGTCTTGCTGCACACCCATTCCTCTCTTCCCAGCACAGTTCTCATAACCATGGAGATCACGCCTCCTTGATTCTCTAATATAATTCTAATCTCAAATAGTCTGTGGTATCGTCAAACCTCCGTGTCAATTCGTCTTTCCATTTTTTATTCTGAAAATATGGTTTTCAAACCATACCACTTGTACATACTCTAAGATGGCACCTATTACACTTTATTCTAATGATTTCTGTGTCTGTCTCTTTCATTAGTCTGTGCTCTTTTCGAGGGCAGGGACTTTATCTTCTGTGTATACCAGGAACTCTCATAGTGCCTGGAACATCATTGGGGCTAAATAACACTAATTCAAAGAATGAATTAATGAATGACTAATTACATGAAATTGGTGCCCATCCTTTTATTCTCCCTCTATGTTGATCTTAGCAGCCTCTAGCCTCTCCATTCTGACATTAGAAATTGTTCTAAGACATAAAGGTCACTTTAATAAAGCTGTGTGTGTGTGTGTGTGTGTGTGTGCACATTATATCCTCCAAATCTGTATGTGCGGCCCTTTTTTGAGATCATCAGATTGCCCCCTGTTTCCAAAGTATATATTGGTGAACTCCCTTTTCTGTTTCCTTGGAAGCACTAATCCAACATGTCCTGCTCTGCCCCTTCTTCCACACCCTGCCACATCACCGCAGTTCTGCTATTCCAGGAATGTTACTGGGCAAGAGTGGCTCCATGAATCAGAGCACCCCAGGGATTGAGGGGGGGGGGAAGGGACAAGGATTGGGGGGAAAGATCGGAAACACCCCTTGCTCAACTTTTTCAATTTTGCCTTCATTCATATACTCAGGAGACATGGATTAGGCACCTACTCTGTGCCAGGCACTATTCTAGATCCGTGAGATAGAAAAGTGGATAAGATATAATCTTTGCCCTGAAATGTTCACAGTCTTAACGAGGGAGACAAAGAAGTAAACAGACTGCCATAATACAAGGTGGTAGGAGTAACAGTAGCCATTTTCTAGTACATAAAGGAGAAACAAAGCCCCCTAAGCTGCTGCAAAATAGGGATCTTTTCTGGAGGGCCAAAATTGAATTCGTAGCTCAAACCCCAGGGAGAAAATCCTGTTTGACCTACTGCATTGGTTAGTTAATTATTGGTCTATGTCCAACTTTTAAATCAGAAACAGCTTTACCTCTACACCAGCTGATTTATAAAATAACTCAGGAAATGGTAGCAACTCCACGCCTTTTATGGAAACAAGGATAATTTATTTAACAAATATTTATTGAATACCTATGACATAAATTCTGTGCTAGGCAGTGTACCCCCAAATGTCTAATTTTTGTACTGTTTAGTTGAGTGGGACCTATAGGTATAAGCAATTATAAAATACTTCAGATCTACAGCCATGCCACCCTGAACATGCCTGATTCCATCTGATCTTGGAAGCTAAGCAGGGTCGGGCCTGGTTAGTACTTGGATGGGAGACCACCTAGCAATACCAGGTGCTGTAGGCGTTAAAAAAAATACTTCAATGCTACGCAATTCCATTGCTATGGAATTGCAAATAGCAATCCAACCATTTGAAGTTTGTCTACCTTCAGTACCCAAAGGAGGGTGGATAATCCAGCAGGTGGCAGCAGGGAAACAATTATTTTAGATCTTGATGAAGAAGGGGTAGAAGGCAGAGATCAATGCCTGGGGATATTCTCCTAGGTTCCCTTTTGAAGATCCAGAAAACATCCGAATAAAAGATAACTGGGCATCTTGGGGCTACCATACCTAGGATTTTTTCCCATTCTTCTTCATTTATTCATTCCAGAAGTAATTATTGAGCCCCTACTATGTCTAGAATCACATCAGAAGAGGAGCTGAAGATACAAGAGTGAACCAAACAGTGGCTGGTCCCCAGCAGTTAGGTCTCTTCAGAGAGAGAGAGTCCTAGGTCTTCAGATCCCCACCAGAGCACTTTGTTAAAACTGGGCAGAGTTATGGGACAACATGGCTGGACCTTGAGATAATCGTGCTAAGCAAAATAAGTCAGACAGAAAAAGCTGAAAACCACATGATATGTTATATGTGGGATATAAACCTAAAAGCAACAAATGAACAGGACAAACAGAGACTCATGGACATGGACAATACACTAGTGGTTACCAGAGAGCGGGGAGGAGGAAGGTAGATGAGGTAAAAGGGGTCAAATATGTGGTGACAGAAATCTTGGGAAGTGAACACAATGCAATATATATATGCCTTACTGTTAAATTGTACACCTGAAACTTACTGGATTTTGTTAACCAATGTCACTATAAAAAATAAATATAAATAAAAATTTTAAAAATTAAGTAAATAAAAATAAAACTGGGCAGAGTTACTGCAAATCTAGACTAGGATGGGGGAATTTCTGTGTGTCGCTATGTCCTTTGGAGCATAGACAACCAACAGAAGCTTAGACTAGACTAGGATGGGGGAATTTCTGTGTGTCACCATGTCCTTTGGAGCATAGACAACCAACAGAAGCTT